GAACCACTAACAGAACCGTAAACAGAACCACTAACAGAACCACAAACAGAACAAATACAGAACCACTAACAGAACCGTAAGCAGAACCACAAACAGAACCACTAACAGAACCACTAACAGAACCGTAAAAAGACCCACTAACTGAACCGGAAACAGAACCACAAACAGAACCGTAAAAAGACCCGTAAACAGAACCACTAACAGAACCACAAACAGAACAAATACAGAACCACTAACAGAACCGTAAAAAGAACCACTAACAAAACCGTAAACAGAAACACAAACAGAACCGTAAATAGACCCGTTAACAGAACCACTAACAAAACCACTAACAGAACCGTAAAAAGAACCAATAACAGAACCATAAACAGAACCACTTACAGAACCGTAAAAAGAACCACTAACAGAACAGTAAAAAGAACCACTAACAGAACCACAAACAGAACTGTAAATAGACCCGTTAACAGAACCACAAACATAACCGTAAACAGAACCACAAACAGAACCTAAACAGAACCACAAACAGAACCACTAACAGAACCATAAAAAGAACCACTAACAGAACCGTAAACAGAACCACTAACAGAACCACTAACAGAACCGTAAACAGAACCACTAACAGAACCGTAAAAAGAACCACTAACAGAACCATAAACAGAACCACTTACAGAACCGTAAACAGAACCCTAACCCTAACCCTAACCCTAACCCTAACCCAAACAGAACCACTAACAGAACCGTAAACAGAACCACTAACAGAACCACAAACAGAACCACTAATAGAACCACAAACAGAACCACTAACAGAACCGTAAACAGAACCACAAACAGAACCACTAGTAGAACCACAAACAGAACCACTAATAGAACCACAAACAGAACCACTAACAGAACCACTAACAGAACCACAAAAAGAACCACTAACAGAACCGTAAACAGAACCACTAACAGAACCACGAACAGAACCACAAACAGAACCGTAAACAGAACCACAAAAAGAACCACTAACAGAACCGTAAACAGAACCACTAACAGAACCACAAAGAGAACAACTAACAGAACCATAAACAGAACCACTAACAGAACCACACCAGAACCACTAACAGAACCACAAAAAGAACCACTAACAGAACCGTAAACAGAACCACTATCAGAACCACAAACAGAACCACTAACAGAACCACTAACAGAACCGTAAACAGAACCACTAACAGAACCACTAACAGAACCGTAAACAGAACCACTAACAGAACTGTAAACAGAACCACAAAAAGAACCACTAACAGAACCGTAAACAGAACCACTAACAGAACCACAAAAAGAACCACTAACAGAACCGTAAACAGAACCACTAACAGAACCACAAACAGAACCACTAACAGAACCACAAAAAGAACCACTAACAGAACCGTAAACAGAACCACTAACAGAACCACAAACAGAACCGTAAACAGAACCACTAACAGAACCACTAACATAACTGTAAAAAGAACCACTAACAGAACCGTAAACAGAACCACTAACAGAACCACAAACAGAACCACTAACAGAACCGTAAACAGAACCACTAACAGAACCATATAGAGAACCACAAACAGAACCACTAATAGAACCACAAACAGAACCACTAACAGAACCGTAAACAGAACCCCAAACAGAACCAATAGTAGAACCACAAACAGAACCACTAATAGAACCACAAACAGAACCGTAAATAGAACCACTAACAGAACCACAAACAGAACCACTAACAGAACCACAAAAAGAACCACTAACAGAACCACAAACAGAACCACTAACAGAACCACTAACAGATCCACTAACAGAACCACAAACAGAACCACTAACAGAACCACAAAAAGAACCACTAACAGAACCGTAAACAGAACCACTAACAGAACCACAAAAAGAACCACTAATAGAACCATAAACAGAACCGTAAATAGAACCACTAACAGAACCGTAAACAGAACCACTAACAGAACCACAAACAGAACCACTAATAGAACCACAAACAGAACCACTAACAGAACTGTAAACAGAACCACAAACAGAACCACTAATAGAACCACAAACAGAACCGTAAATAGAACCACAAACAGAACCGTAAATAGAACCACTAACAGAACCACAAACAGAACCACTAACAGAACCACTAACAGAACCGTAAACAGAACCACTAACAGAATCACAAACAGAACCACTAACAGAACCACTAACAGAACCGTAAACAGAACCACTAACAGAACCGTAAACAGAACCACTAACAGAACCACTAATAGAACCACAAACAGAACCACTAAAAGAACCGTAAACAGAACCACTAACAGAACCACAAACAG